TCACAGAGCGCCTAAACTTTACCCCTTCTTCAGTAGGAGACCTTCTCAAGTGCAGAGCTCTGTAAATCCCCTATCAAACCCAGTTAAACTGCGTGAGCAGCAGATCTCTGCCATACCCTTTAGGAAATCTTTTGGCAACCTGAAAAATCAACTTCAAACGCGTTGTGAAGATGTGCAAGGTAGGCTATGAAGGCATGAGCAGCATTCCAAGCAGCTGCCTGTCCAGGTAAATCTGGACCCTGGACTTGAGTTTGCATTGCTTTGAGTGGGGCTATGGGGTGCATCTTTGTACTGACTGCTTAGGGCTTTTGAAGCATACTAGAAAGTGTGGTTACCTTTGCTGTAGTAGCAACTTCAGTGTTTTAACTTATGTTATGTATTGAGTAAGCAATAAACACTTTCAGACTGACAGTCCTTTACAACTTGACCAGTGAACTGACTGTTAATAACTTTGATACAAGTGAGTTACTTGACCTGAAATCTCCGTGCTGCAGAACTACTGAGAGGTGGCTGGCACTCTTTGGAGTAACAAAGGCATAACCCCCAAGTACTTCATTCCCTGCTCTCCAGGAAGCACTTCAGCTCAAATGAAGGCTTGGCAGGTAGGTCAGATCATCCTGCTGAGAGAGCAAAGGTCAGAAAGGACTGTCTGGGCTTAATGAATTACTTTGTCAGGGTAGCCTAAAGATTCAGAATTACTTTGTCAGGGTAGCCTAAAGATTTGGATTAGTAAGTTTCATTTCCTTCAAGAGACCTTTTATAGAAGAGAACAAGGTAGGAAATATGGGTGGGAGCTAAACTCAAGACTGGCTGTAAGCTTTTTGTTTATGAAGAGCACCCCGGTAACTACTTCTGTGTGAGAAGTACTACAGGTCTGGAAGGAATGTGGTATCAGTTCTGGCAACTGACTCAAAAGGGAGAGGATGGAGCTCACAATTCAGCAGGTGGTTGATGCTGCTTCAGTGGTCTTAGACACATGCACATGTGCACACACTAGTCCTCAGCTCTCTCAACAGGAAACTAATATGGGACTTAAGTTACTTACTACATGAATGTAAAAGGAAAAAAGGACATAGCTAGCGTGCTGTGGGTTGAAAAAAAAATTAACAGGAGGATTACTTCATTTTAGGGGCTACTGCTTCACTGTAACAAATATTTCTACTGCTTAATTAAGACTATGCTTACTGTGTATAAACAGAAAGCTCTTAAGTTCTGTCCATGTGCACCACCACTGAGTACACAAATCACTTGTGAGGGTTTCGGTCAGCAACTTACAGCTTTAACTGAATAGCTAAAATGGTGCTGGAAATAATGGCTCGATGCCTTAATTGCATTTTTTTCTACACTTAGCTTTTCTAACAATAAATTTAAGTGAACAATATACCTAATATACAGAGGTAAAGTTGAAACAGAAGCTAATCTTTAGAAATCACTGAAGTCAAAGCAAAACAGGTTATTTCAAGCTGTTTACAATTCCTTTTCCCATTAATGCGAGCTCTTCAAACAGTAAGATATTGTCAACTTAAAAAGCGCTTGTCCAACAGCCACTGCAATTTGAGTGTATTTATACATACATTGGAGGCCTGTCAGAAAAGATTAACTGTGGTATTAGATTAAGATATTCACTAGAAAGCTACTTAACCTACACTAAAATAGATTCTCTAATGCAATGATGAACATGTTTCACACAGACTAACCCTGAGAAGTCTCTCAAATTGAGAACAGGTTTTTTTTAATTAAACATCCTACACTTTGATCCCACAGATAATGCATATAGTCCTCATCATTGCATCATCTTGCTGAATGATCAAGCAAGGTTTCTACGAAGACCTGCACTACACTTCAACTATAACCTCTAAATTATTATCCCTTTCACATCACTGCTTTCCCAGCAGGGCCTGTGCTATGTAAATTAAATGTTATTTGTATGGTAAAAGAAACAACTCTGGATTTCAGTATTAGTGGAGGAGCTGGTTAGTATTTTCTCCAACTTTACGGAGATGATTTCTCATTATTGAACGATTATTCCCTCAAGCACGAAGGTAGGTTTAAACAAAGTTGCCTTGCTGCGTAAAAATGGTTATGCTAGAATGGGCTGGTATCTGTCTAACACAATGTCCTGGCTGTGAGACTAGTGAAGCTACATGTGAGAAACAAGTTCTTGTTGACATTCCTACGTGGATGTAACAGCCTAGCAGCCTGTGGCTCAAGATACTGAAAAGCAAATAATAAACTGTCTCACTCACAGCTTGGCAAAGCCAGACAGACTGCAACCAAATATCTACTGTTTAGGTTCACCTGCTCGTACTGCTGACAACAAACTTCTGACAAATTAGACAATTTGATTACTTTTAGGTGAAATGCAATCTACTCCTATTTGTGAAGTAGTTCGGTGTACAAATGCTCAATGCTGCACCTGGACGGTAAGCTGTGCAGACAGCCTGATGCTGGAATGGGTACTGGGCATAAACCAGTTTAAAGTCACATACAGAAACTCGCATTGCAAGTTGTTTGCTTCCTATTCACTTTGCAGGTGCCTTGGCAAAAACCATGCCCGTCCCCCATTCTCTCTGGGAATTAATTAAACTTACTGTTTGGAGTCTCTCCACATGATCCATTCAAAAATATTAGACTGGCATTAGGTTTTCTCTCTAGGGGGTTGGTTGCCATCTGTGGTGTGCTGCTGTGGTCAAGATTTGCCTAACAGTCCTCCTGTTATCCACCTGTATGACACGGAATAACAAAGTGCTGTTTGTGCTGCAAAGTCCAGGATATATAGCTGCTCTAGGGCCCATGAGTCTATGACCCTTTCGCCTCCCCAGGCCAATTCTTTCCCTTCTGCTGGTGGCAGGCAGGAAGCCCAGACTTTTCCCAACTCCGCTGGATTCCAGCACGAAGATGTTAAGCTGCCTTTTTGCGTGGCAGATCTCCCTTCTCTCTGGCTATTTGTACCTCTCCACCTGCTCCCTTCCGTTCTCACAGGGCTGCAGTCTTTTGAAACTCTTTTTAGCTTGGCTCCTTGCACAGAACTGAGAGTGCACTTTTCATGGACCTTTTCCAACCTGCTGGGCTACGGGGAGAATACATGCTCTCATTCTCTATACCTCACCCTTTTCTTACAAAAACTGTGGTAGATCTGTCAAATATGTATAACAAGTCCAAACTGTGATACACAAGCCATCTAAAATGATCCTTTCATTTTCAATGCAACCGATTCCCAGGAAAGTTTAACGTTTTGACTAAGCTTGCAACACTGTTGCAAAAAATGACAGAATCCGTGGAAAATTATTAGGAAATATTAGGAAATTATTAGGAAATATAGAAAATATTAGGAAATTATTAGGAAATATAGAAAATAACCTGAATTAAATCAAAATACTGTTGACAATAACTGAGGACAGCTTAGGAACAACTCACTAATCTCTTCTTTCCACACAAGACGACCTCAAACTAAAAAAACCACAGAGATTTTAACTACTCTGAATGTAGTTCTGTAGCTTTAAAGTCAACAAAACCAAGCTTGTATCTGCATTGCTTGTGCTCATGAAGCTACTTTTGCTGAGCCGTGACTACAAATCATTTGGTTTGGCAAAATCACCAGGTAACCCCTTGAACTCAAGCACGGCATTCCATGCTGCCACAAATCCAAGGCAATGATTGCTTTTCAGAAAGCAGATAATGAGGAAAACCGCTAATGCTAGCGAAGCTGCCCCACTGGTACCTCCTGCTGACCCTAGGGCTGGTCTACTTTTCTGTGCTTGGGTACTGATTTATTGCAGAAGGCCATCTTGCTCCTTGTTTTGTTAGTACTGTTTATAGCAAGGACTCCCCTGCTACTAGGCCAGCACCTTCTGTGACCAACTTCTCAGACAGCCCTGCTAGACTCTGAAAGGGCAGCACTATTAATCTGCTCTTCACAAACAGTCCCCAGACAAAAATCAAATGGCAAATTCTGGATAAGTAATCAATTTGGGATAAGTTCTTCCTCCCCTGTCTTTTTTTCAACGACTATCTTGTTCCCCGAGATATTTTCCAACACTAATGAGGCTTTAAACATCAATCTGATACTTTAGTGATCCTGTTCATCTTACTACTTCGGAATTGTTTTTAGCATCGGATAGTCTTTTCACTCTCTTAAAAGCAGGAAGTCATTTGCCCACTGCTGCAAAATCCTCAAGTGTCAGAAGACATAGGAGGTTTTAAAATAAATTCATGTATGCCAGGTGTGCTCAATGTGCCTTCCTGTTTATTACTAAATCTTACGCTAGGAACGGCCTTTGAAAACATTATTCTTAGGCACTCATATTAAGGGAAGGTTGTCTGTATTGGTGACTCAACTGAAGAGCATTTTGGAGACCAACGGAAAGTAACATGCCCAGCTATTTTAGCAAACTTCTTAATATGGGTGACGGAGCCTGGTATTTAAGTCATACTTAGAATGTTTTAAGAAAACAAGTCAGCACAGATTCAAAAAGCATTTTTTTCTGCCTAAACTTCACCTATTTTCGTTTTTATAGAGGAACACAGATTGAAGAAGGACAAGAAGTCCCAAACTAGGAACATACACACCCTCAGCTGTAAGTCAAAATACGAGTGCTATGCTTACAAAGCTAACCCCAAGGCAGACTGTGGACTCTCCATTTGTACTATGAATCAAGCCAAATATCCCAACAAGCAGTGAAAATTATATAAAAAATACCACTTGATGAGTCCATTCTGCTTAAAGGAATCATGGTATAGGATGAAACCTGTGCAGTCTTGCAGTTGTAGGTATGTGGTTCAACACTTGATCTCAACATTAACAGGAGCCACAGGCAGGTTTCCTGCTTTTATTGGAAATACTTGGCAGTTCTGGGACATCCAGATGAATCAGAATTTATTGAAGTAATAACATGAAGTATGGAGGGAGGGGAAACCAATTTATTGTAGAATGAAAAAAAAAAAAGCCCAACAATTTAAAAACTAACTTTCTAAAAAACAGGACCTGAAGTAGCGTGCAAGATCCAGAACACATGCAAGAAATACTGGAACTTGAAGCAGTCAGCAAGTGCCCTGTGGCCAGTGTCTCTCACAGCACAAAGCTATTGAATACGTGCGCCCGTGAAAGAGTCTGTATTTAGATGTATTTCTACTCCTCTTGTACTTCCCACTCATTTAGAAGTAGAGTGTCATGGTTCCAGGCAAGAATTACAAAACCGTAAGAACTTTTATTATTTATCTTTAAAAATATATTTTAAACACAATGTACATACGTGAAAGTAATCACTAATGTATACGGCGTCTTCACTTTGATAGCTTTTTCTCCTTTTGCTTTGCTTTCTCTATCTTCATTTCCTGAGTTCTGATCATTGATGACATGGCTAAAAATAGCAGCAAGAACGGATTATCTGAACACCACCTTATGTTAAAATGATTGAGGCCTCGGGTGCAGACACCTGAAGCTTTGCAATATCCTCTCGCATGTTACACTGTACTTATCAAGCCCTTATAAATACAACTTTAGTTAGCAATTTTTTATATGCAGGGCTTTAACAGGAAAGATAAACCTAGTTATAAACAGGCACCACCTCATCTGCTTTGTGAAGCCAAAGCACCAAATGCTCGAGTAGTGGCGAAATGCTATTGATTTCACAATCTGTCTTATGGGATGGTGTGAAATTAGTACCTTTGGTCCAACGCTCATGGAAATGGGTTTACTTAGTGTGTGCATAAAAGGCTTCCCCCCCCTTTTGTATAGCAACTCTTGATACATTACAGATTTGAATATATGTTTTTATATGGATATAGAAAACGGGCAAACTGAAGATGTTAATGGATGGCAAAGAATAAAAATGAGAACACTTACCTTATACTTAATATAAATAATTTGATTAGTTTTACCTAAATCAGGTCACTTGTAAGTTTCTGACGCATGTGCACTGTATCATGTGGGGAAATAATAATTTCCCAAATCTATGCAGTGAGACTTAAAAGGGGCAAAGGGGAAGCAACTGGAATGTGTAATAAGAAAAAATGCAGAGAAAAGAAACTCCATCTCACTTGGCATCCTGCCATCACAAGAGTTCACGAGCATTTCACCAGTGACTTCAAAGGGAGCAAGAAGAGAACCTCAGAAGTTCTCCATCGTCACCGTGGTCATCTCAGATTTAGAAAACAGTTGAGGAGGAAAGGATATGCTTCTGAGGCCACTGCTGGGAAACTATGTTTTTGGAGTCTGCTGCTGTCAGAATATCTTTCAGTTTCCATGAAAGAGTCATCAGCTTGTTAAAAATTCCATTTAATTGGACATGACAGCACACGAGGGCACCCCTGACCAGCTGCCATGTTTGAAATGTTAAGGATCTTGAAGCTTATTAGAGTTAAGGGGCTGAGCAGCAGTGCATTGTGGAGTTAATCTAATTACTCTCCTAGGAGCAGGATAATATACAAGTGGGTACTGCTCGTAAAACAGGCACATCTAAACTGACCTCATGCAAAAACACAGGTAGTGCTTTGGCAGGTAACAAGAACAGTTTCTGGAGAGTGTGGGTATTTTAAATAAAATAGGAATATTTTTGGTAAATTCTGGCACCTTGTTTTTTTATCTGTAATGATTCCACCAGGTTTTGCAGGCTTTCCATCTTGTTCTGTAGCCTCCTAGGTGTATTCTCACTGGTTTCCATGGGCTGAGAAGCTAGTGAGAAAATTATTTATCAATACATTATCACAGATGCAAAGAAAAAAATAAAGGTCATTATAAATTATTTAAACATTCCATCTAAAGTTCTTAGAAAATAAAACTTAATAAAACTTAATTTCCAGTAGCGAAGGAAATGAGTAAGAAGACAAGGTTATTAAC